GACTACCAGGAGGACGGCACCTCTGACTCCGAACCGCGCTGGGCTCACTTGTCCCCCCCGACGGAGCGCCCCCGCCCCTTCGGCGGGCGCGCTGACTTCCCAGCGGCGCAGCAGCACGAAGCCAACGCCCTCGTAGACGAAGTCGGGCGGATCTGCAGTCTGGTGGCCTCTGGCAATATGCCACCGGGGTGCGCGTGGAGACGCGTCCTGGTACCCTTCATGTGGGAGTCGGTTTCCGAGAACGGTAGGGCCGCCCTAGCAGCTGCGTTCCGCGAAGTCAACCTCGACCTGGTAATCCTGAACGCTGCCAGAGAGCTGGATTGCGAGAGGCGCAAGAACGACCGAGGACGCCCTCAGGACCATTGCAGGCGCGCGCACTCAGTACTACCAGCAGCGACCGACAAACATGCCGCCCGACGCCGAACCCGACGCCGAACCCGACGCCGAACCCGACGCCGAACCCGACGCCGTTCCCGACGCCCTACCCGACGCCCTACCCGACGCCTTACCCGACGCCGTTCCACGCAGGTCAGCCGTCATGAATTTGGTGGTTTTGGCCCCGTATTTCTTCCCAGTCCTGGTGCTGGAGCATCTTCGGAACGTGCCCGTGGTGGCCCCCGCAGGGCTGAGGACAATTGCGCCCGAGTGGGGCCGCGCACTTAGGGAGTTTGAGATTTTGGAACATCTCGTGGAGAGCTCGATCAGTCGGCAGTGAGCGCCATGGGTCGGACGAGCGCGGAGCTGCCCGGGCCCCGAGCCAAGTTTCAAGAATCGCCCTGGTGGCTGCCGTGAACCAGCCAAGCGGATTCTAAGTTGGCGGCGATTTCGGCGCGCAGTGCATTGGCGCGCCGCGTAGGAGCTAGAGGCGACGCGCCTGGGCCCCGATCGCCCGGAGGATACCAGCCGAGGCGTTCGAGAAGTGGGATCGAAGGGGTTGGAGGAGCGCAGCAAGGACTTCCTTGTGCCTCCGCAACAAAGGGTCGATGTTCGACCAAGGGTCGCTCATAACTCGCGTTGCGAATTGCCTCGAGTCCAGCTCCACCTCGTGCCGTCACTGGCGGATTTCATTTTTTTGCTGCGCGTCTTGAAATCGTGCGCGCGTGCTGCCATGCAGCGCTCACTGATGCCGCGCCATCCTGCTCGGACTATGGGATAGTGCATATTTTGCGATTATGACATTTGACGAACCCGGCCCCTTGACAGTCAGATGCCGAGAGCCCGTCCTGACGATGGGAGTTCATGGGTTCTCTGGGTCGAAGGAGGTCAATCGGGACAGGAGTTGGGTGGGCCCGCCGTCGGAGTATCCGTCTCACCTCGTGGTGGCCAATTCGGGCGTGGAAGCTGCAGCTGACTGAATGGGCCGCCCGCCCGATGTGCCTGCTCGAGATTGAGGAGAAGGGTTTGCCCACCGCGTGGCAAGCCATCCGCTCGAACCAGAATATGCTTCGACTGAAGAGTTTTAGCAGAGATAGCGCAATAATTAGCGCTGGTGCTGGTGGGGTGGGCTCCGACCGAGGCGATGCGGCCTCATCGAAAACTTCTGCGTGACTGCTGCGTGCTGGCTCTCGCGGGCCGCAGAGCGGGCGGGGGCAGTCATTCCCCGCCCAGGTGTTGGCGATACTATAATGTTCTTTTGAGGAGCACAAAGTTGGCCCCGGCCCGGGCCCCGGCGACAGCGGGGGAAGCGGGGCGCGTGGTCCATGGAGGGTCTGGGGCAGATGCGGCGCGAACCCGGGGGCGCAGTCGCCCCAGAAGGTTCCTGTCCTATCAGTCTGGCCACGGAGTTGTGGATGTTGTCATCGAGGGGCCATGCAGACCCAGTTGCGCCTCATGGGGGCCGAGCGGGTTTGTTTTTTGGGGCCTTTTTCATTGCGGCGGGTCTGTGGGGCGTACTGGATGGCGACAGCGGGCGCAGGGCGCGGACTTTTCAGGCTCGCCTATGCTGCGGGCCCAGTTTTGGCCGCCCGTTGGCCTGTTTTGCCCGCGGTCGTTCTTTGGCGTGGCCTCGCCGCTGCGTGCGCGCGTGCGGCTTCTGCCGTGCAGCAGTGCCGTCTGCCCCGCGTTGACATTTGGGTAGGCGCGCGCCCGGGCGCGCCCGATTCTTCTTCGTGGGTGATTCCTTGTTGGCTGGCCGCGACAGCAGGTCCAACGAGGTCGGTGATCCTGTCGCGGCGTCAGGTAGCGTGTGTCGGGGGATTGTGAAACATCTTAAAGTGACTTCGCTAGGCGCATGCTTGTGCTGCTGTATTAGCGACGCCATCGATTCTGAACAAACTTGCAGCCAAACCCAGCCCGTGGGCTGGCCGCGTCGAGAGTCATATTTCGTTTGTCAATCTAAGAGTATCTTTCAGCGCGTGCGTCAGACTACGGAAGCGCAGCAGAACAGTTTGAAGGGCAGAGTTGGCAAGGTGAAGGACAGACTCCGACGTGTCTTGTCGGTCCGAGCAGCAGGATCTGACGCCGCAGAACTGTTGTGCATAGGGCTCCAGCAGGCGGTATTTTTGGGCGCCGCAATTGGAGGATTTGCCGAATTGGGCCCCCAGGAAACGAACAATCCTTGTGGGGGGCTGCTGGGTCGGGCCGCGCCGTGAGATCTCGCACAGCTTCCTTGGCGTCTCTCGAAGGCTCCCGTTGGAGACTTGGTTTTACGCCACGTGTGTGTGTGTGTGTGTGTGTGTGTGTGTGTGTGTGTGTTGGAGTATGACCACCTGTAGAGCAACTCGCAGCTTCGTGATGTCTGAGCGTGCTGGCCCCTGGCAACTCTTTAGATCAGTGTTGGTGCGTTGTTTTCTGAGCGGTGGTCGCGCGTCGACCGCGGGCATTTCAGGAACCGACCGAGTTGCTAATGTGGCTGTCGACAGTGGGACGCAGTCGCCGGAAGCTGGGCGGAGCAGTCGCGCGGCGCTTATCAAACCATGCAAACGTTTGTTTTCTTGTGCCCTTCGCGAAGTCGCCTTCTGGCCCGCGGTGGCCCCGTGGGTGATGAGGGCAAAGGGGAATGGGCATTCTGCCCGAGAGTTTGGACCCTGTTGTGGGAACTGTATTCGTTTCGGAATCATGGCGGGACAGCTAAACAGGGGCACGCCCGCGTCTGGGGACGGGGTTGTGGCGCCCCCTCCCTCCTTGGCAAACTCGTACTGGATTCAGCTGAAGGGATGCTGGCAACAAAACCGTTGGCTTTGTCTTGTGACTTGTGTGGCGTTCGAGATGAACGTATGCAGGCGTTGCCGCTGCTTTGGCCAAGGTCGCTTGTCAACCTGGTGTTCACAGGCTGCATGTAGTCGACCACATGGCTGGTGGCAGTTTCGTTCAAACGTTCAGTGACTGTAGCAAGTTCACAGGGTGTACGCTCAATGGGGTCCAAGAGAGGTTTCTCCGATCTCTTCGAGAGGATGCTCGAACGTGTGGTGTTCGGGTACGCCCCCCAAGGCCTCAATTTGGAGTTTGGTTCTCGAATCCCACCGGCGGAGTGGTCCAGAGTCGCGTCAGTCAAGCGTGTGAATCGCAGTAGGCGAAATCGAAACCCTTTCCGAAGCGTTGCGATTGTCCTCCTCCGCACATCTTCAACCTCCTCCACGTGGACCTTCCTCCTCCTCTTCTTCCGCCCCGTATCCGTCGAAAGTTCCCCTTCCTCCTCATCTTTCCTCCTCTCCCTTCTCCTCTTCCTCCTTCATTCCATGTCCCACTTAGTCCATCACTTCCAATCCTCTGCCTTTCCCTCCCCGTCCCCCTCGGCTTCCACAGTGTATCACTATACATATTATTCTCCCTCCTCTGAAGTTGCCTGGACGATCTCCCGCCCCCTTCACACAACAATCGAACAACTGCTTTTCCTATATTGTTCGGTGTTTCAGAAGTGGTGTTCCCTTTGCATCATGGGCCTCATTTTCGGATCGGCGCTTGGCTCCCGTCGTTCAGAACGGCGCTCCCGTCCCACCGTCCCAGCGCGGGCTATGTTCCATCTTTCTGAATCCGAGTATTGCATCATGGTGGTCCCCTCCTCATTTCCCCCGCCTTCCCCTGGTTCTTTTGTTCCTCTCGTTCCTTCCACTCCAGTTCCTGCTGCTGCTGTTCGTCTCGCCCTGTGTATGTCTGTATGTATGCCTGTATGTATGTATGCATGCATGCATGCATGCATGCATGTATGCATGCATGTATGTATGTATGCATGCATGTATGTATTTATGTATGTATGTATGTATGTATGCATGCATGCATGCATGCATGCATGCATGTATGTATGTATGCATGTATGTATGTATGTATGGATGTATGTATATATGTATGCAGGTAAATATGCATGTATGTAGGTATGTATGCATGCATGCATGCATGTATTGATGCATGTAATGTAATGTAATGTAATGTAATGTAATGTAATGTAATGTAATGTAATGTAATGTAATGTAATGTAATGTAATGTAATGTAATATAATGTATATGTATGTATGTATGTATGTATGTATGTATGTATGTATGTATGCATGCATGCATGCATGCATGCATGCATGCATGCATGCATGCATGTATGTGTATGTATGTATGTATGTATGTATGTGTATGTATGCATGCATGCATGCATGCATGCATGCATGCATGCATGTATTGTATGTATGTATGTATGTATGTATGTGTGTGTATGTATGTATGTATGTATGTATGTATGTATGTATGTATGTATGTATGTATGTATGTATGTATGTATGTATGTATGTATGTATGTATGTATGTATGCAGGCAGGCAGGCAGGCAGGCAGGTAGGTAGGTAGGTAGGTAGGTAGGTAGGTAGACAGGTAGGTATGTATGCATGTATTTTTATACATGTATATGAATACATATATATATATATATATATGATCCTTCTAACAAGTGTATGCTGCGATCCACGGCGAAGTTGCCGCACTTGATGGACATCTGTGGCCATCTCGCTCAAGCCTCGAGCGAACTCCGCCCGCATGTTCGCCGCGGCGTGCGCGGCGGCTGGCGCGCTGTTCCCTGAGGTCGGCCGCGGGCTCAGCACTGGGATGGCGCTGTACGCCGCCAACCAGGGGCAGCAGTGCCCGGCGTGCACCTGCGCGCCCCTGTGCCCGGAGTTGCGCTGCGACTGCTCCGGTCTGCAGGGCTCGAGCGGCCAGGGGCCGGGCCTCTGGTCGGTGGCGCTGGCCTGCGCCGCCAGCGGGCTCGTGGGGGCCTGCAGCGCGGCGCTGGCCTTCTGGCGCCTGAGCGGCCGCTTCCTCGGGCCGCGCGGCGCGGCGCTGGCCACTGGCGGGGAGGCCGACTTCGAGGAGCAGGCGCGGGCCCAGGCGCGCGTGGCGCGCGCCAAGGCCCTGTAGTGCTGATGGCGGCGCCGGCGCCGCCGGCGCACGCGTCGGTCGCTGGCTCGGGCGCCCAGCCCGGGGACTTCATCGGCGTGCAGTACAACATCGGCGGCGTGGCGCTCGTCCATGGGCGGCTCGTGGTGCCGGTGCCGCCTGGGCGGCCTGACAGCGCGAGCATCGTCACGCCGGACGCTGACGAGTCCGAGGAGAAGTACGTGGGCTCGGCGGACGTGTTGAGGTGGGACGTCTTCCCCGGGGGCGCTGCTGGCGGCGTGATGCCGTGGGCCCCGGGGGCCCGCTACTACAGGTTCCGCAGCCTGCTGACGCCGGCGACCATCCTGGCGGCCGCGGACGCCGCGGCGGGTCGGCTCGGGCTCCCCGCCCCTCCAGGGCCGATCGTGGCCAACGCGGGTGGGCGGGCGATCGGAGCGCCGGCCGCTGCGCCGCTGGGCGGGCTCGTGCCGCCGGCCGTGGGCCCCGCTGCCGCCCCGGCTGCCGCCCCGGCTGCCGGCGTGGCCGCGCTGGTGGCTGCCCTCGGCGGGCCAGCGGTGGCGCTCGCGCCCCTGCTGGCGCTCGCGGCGCCGCCGCCTGGCGCGGCCGCGGCCGCCGCGGCCCCCGCGGCCTTCGCCGACGTCCGCGTGCAGCCCGTGGTGTACAACGCCCTCTGCTCCAGGCGGATCGGCTTCGGCGACGCGGTGGCGCGCATGGTTGAGCACCAGTGGCCGGACTGGCCGGTCACCAGCCCCCGCGCGACGCTGTGGGTCTGCCAGTTCATGAAGGACAATGGGCTGTCGCCCCTCGGGCGCCACAGCAAATGGAGGTCAGAGGGCCGCCTCGCGCTTGCCGACGGCGGCGTGGCCGAGCACGAGCGCTGCTGCTCGTACCTCGAGCAGATGGTGTGTTTCGATCAGTTGAACGTCCTGGACGTCGCGGCGGCGGAGATGATCTGCCGGAGCATCCAGGTGCAGGAGGGGAGGTGGCGCGAGCGGTTCGTGTCGAGTGCCGACGAGTCGCTGGACTCCTACTTGTTCTACGGCACCTCGTCCAACCGTGGCGGCGTGTGCGTGCACCCCCAGCTGCTGGCCCACGTCAGCGCCGAGCTGTCGAAGGAGTACGCCGTGGCAAATGAGAGGCGCAAGGCGAGGGGGGAGCGACAGTCCGCTCGCACGCCGGGCAACAAGGACAAGAAGGGCAACAAGAACAAGGACAAGGACGAGCCAAAGGGGTGAAGGAGAGCGCGCAGCGGGACTTTGGGCCACCTGCTGCGCCGAAGCTCGAGCACCAGGCCCATTTTCGCGGCGACCTCGCCGCCACTGGTGACCACCGTCATCGGGATCTTTTTCCGCTACCTCATGTGGCTCGACGGACCGTGTGTGCTGCCGGCCGCATTCCCTGTCGCGCAGTCCGTCAGCGGTCCCGCCGCTCCGATGTGCTGCTGCAGTGGGCTGACCATGGCGTGGATGCTCTCAACCGTCTGTATGGCCACGCTGGCGTACCTCCGTCGGCGCCTGATGACCTTGGACAGCAGACCTGCTTGGTTTTTTTGGAGGACTGCTACCTGAGCATGGGTGCGATGCCGAGCGAGCCAGGTTTTTGTGAAGAAACCCTCCGCGAGCTTCTCAGCGGCTCCGCCGTCTACTCCGACGACGGCGGCGCCCGGGTCCCGTGCTCGAAGGAGCTGGTCTCCTGGCCTGAGGTGGGTTCCAGCCCTGCCGACCTTCTGGGCTGCCTTACTCAGGATGATGCTGACTGGGCACGGGGTTGGCGACATGATCTGCTCAAGACGCCCGACGAGGCGCTGGAGGGAACCCGACAAGCTTGCCCGCGTGGACCCTTTGTTGACCCTCGGTTGGCACGGGACCTAGTTCTGTATGGCGAGTTTGTTCGGCGGCTTCATCAATGTGGCATGCTGCGCTTCAAGGTGGCCTCCACTGACAAACACATGATAGGTGTATTTTTTTGGTGAGGAAGAAGTCCGGGACACTTCGCATCGATCTCGACGCGAGGTGCGCCAGCGCCTTCTTCCACCCGGCACCCCCGACGCGTCTTCCTACGGCGGCTGCGGTGTCTTCGGTGGAGTCGGGCGCCCCGCCGCTCTACGTGGCGAGCGGCGATCTCGACAGTGCCTTCTACCGCCTCCGGCCCATGTCGGGCCTCGAGGACTATTTCACTTTGCCGAGGCTGTCCTCTACCCGGGCCGGCATCGCCGAGCTCGACGGCGCCATCTTGCCGGCGGGTGCCAGCCTGGTGCCGTGTCTCACCACGCTGCCCATGGGGGGTGGTCGTGGGCGATGCACCTCTGCCAGGCCGCGACCATGCGGGCGATCTCGGTGGCGGGCTTTTCGGACTCGCAGATCGTGGAGGACGGCCGGGCGAGCGTGCCCCTGCCCACCTCCGCCGCCATTGCCGCCGCCGGCTACGTGGACAACTTCTACGTCTTCGGCCACGACCCGCCGCTGGTCACGCGCCGCCGCGACGACGTGTCCGCCGTCCTGCGGAGCTGGGGCCTGGCCGTCCACGAGGAGACGGACGCCGCCGCGGACGCCGTGCTGGTGGGGCTGAGGCTCCGGCAGGGCCGCTGGCTTTCGGTCAAGCGGCGCAACCTGTGGCGGCTTCGGGCGGCGCTCGACACCGTGCTGCGTCGGGGCTGCTGCTCGAGCAAGATGTTGGAGGTGCTGGTCGGCCATATCACCTGGGCCTGTCTTATACGCCGGGAGTTGCTGTGTGTGCTGAGAGCTGTGTACCCGGACATCGCGGCTGGCCTTCCCGCGACTTCTCGGATGTGGGGCTCTGCTCGTGAAGAGCTCTGGCTGGTGCGGTCGCTGCTGCCCCTCCTCCAGAAGGACCTGAGCAGCCCGTGGCACGACATCGTCGGAGTGAGTGGCGCCTCCGAGTTCGGTGTCGGCGTGGCCGTGCGGTCTGTGCAGCCGAGCGTGGCGGCGCAGCATGGCCGCCAGTGCGAGCGTTGGCGCTGCCGTGTGCACGGGGCCGAGAGGCCGCGTGAAAGAGTCTTCCAGCCTCAGCCTCTGCCTTCCTCCACATCAGGTACAGCTCCGCTGCCTACGGGACTGCGCGGCCTGGACTTCGCGGGGCTCGAGTCCTTCATCAGGGTGCACCCTCGGGAGTTCATGGAGGTCCCTCGGGAGTTCTTCGACGGGGCCCGCTGGGCTCCGGTTATCGCCACGAGGGTCGTCGTGCCCGACGACATCTTAGCCTTGGAAGGGGACGCGTGTATCTTGGGTATCAAGCACATCTTGAGGTCCAGGGCTGCCTTTGGGAAGCACATCTTATTGTTCGTCGACAACATGCCGCTGGCCCTGGGGGTTGTAAAGGAAGGGCCGCATCTATTCTTCTGCGTCGTACACTTCGTAAACTGCGTTGCATGGCCTTGTGTTCAAACTGTGCGATTCACATTCGCTGGACCTGCAGCGAGTTCAACCCTGCCGACCCCCTGTCTCGTGGCCGTCTTGGCTGGTTCACAGGACCCTACCGTCGCCTCGCGACCGCCGCGCCGTGCGCGTCGACGCCGGGGTCCGATGCCGAGCGCTGCGACCACCCGGCGACAGGCGGACCGCCAGCGTCGGGACGCCGCTGCCCGCCAGGTGGCGGCGACGCGGGGGCCCTCCGTCGGCCTGGCGGTGCTGGAGCGGACGGCGGTGAGGCCGGGCACGGAGCGCCTCTACCAGGTGTACCTCCGGGCCTTCCTCCAGTTCTGCCTCGTGATGGCGATCGACTGGGCGAGCGAGGCCGCGATGGACCTGGCGCTGGTCACGTACCTGAACTCGATGTACTTCAAGGGCCGTGCCCCGAACGAGGGCTCGGTGCTGCTGGCGGCGCTGGCGCACTGCGCGCCGGCGCTGTGCAAGAGGGCCGCGCAGGCTCTGCCGGGGGCGACCCGCTGCCTGGCGGGCTGGCGCCGCCGGGTGCCGACCAGGGTGCGCCTGCCGCTGCCTCGCCGGGCTGCCTTCGCCATCGCAGGGGCGCTGGCGGCGAGGGGCCAGCCGCGCATGGGCCTGTTCGTCGTGGTCTCGTTCGTGGCCTACTTCCGCCCGCAGGAAGCGTTCGGGCTGGCGGGGCGGCACCTCGTGCCGCCGGTGGCCCACCTGGGCCAAGCCCCGACCCCGTGGGGCCTGCTGCTGCACGACTCGGACCTCCAGTTGCCTGGGGAGACAAACCTGTGGGACGAGGGCGTGCTCCTGGACCAGGCGCCCTGGCTCGAGCCCGCTCTGGAGGCGCTGAGGATCGCGGCGGGGGGCGGCCCCCTCTGGGACTTCCAGCTTACGTCGATTGCGCGGCTCTTCGTGGATGCGTGCCACGCCCTGGGTCTGATGCACCTGCAGCCCCATCTTTATTCCCTCCGCCACGGGGGGGCCAGCGAGGACCTGCTGTCGGGTGCGAGGGCGGCGGGGCCGGTCATGCGCCGCGGCCGCTGGGCCACCCTGGCCTCCCCGCGCCGGTGCGGCAAGGAGATCCGCCTCCTCCGGGAGGCCGCCAAGGTGGACCCCGACGTGCTGCTGTTCGGGGAGGTCGTGGAGCAGAACTTCCTGGATGCGCTGCGGGGCGGGCCGGCGCTGCCGCTGGTGATGCGCGCGGTGCCGGAGGCGCTCCGCCAGCGCTTGCTGGCGGGCCCTGGGGCCCCCGCCGCCAAGCGCGCCTGCCGGCGCTGACTGCTTCGCCGGCGGCCGCGAGGCGGCATCTGCAGCGGCGATGCCGTTGCGCCCGCGCGGCCGCCGACGAGTGGAGGCGCTGCCTGTTTCTGGGGCCTTTCGCCAGCTGCGGCCGCATCTCCCAGCGTGTTCGTGACATGGGCTACGGCTGCCTGGGCATGGACATCGCCCAGGGGGCCGTCGAGGACCACCTCAGCTCCACCTTCGAGTCGGTTGTGCGCGGCTGGCTGCTTGGCAAGGCCATCGTGGGCTTGTGGCTGGGCACGCCGTGTGCGTCGTGGTCGCAGGCGCCGAGGGATCCGTTGCGTTCGATGCAGTATCCGATGGGCGAGCCAGGCTTCGAAGGCGCACGTTTGCACCGGCTCCGCCTAGGTAATCGCTCATTCCACTTTTCATGCCGGCTCATCCGGCTTTGTATCCAGATCGGTTGCCCTGTCTTTTTGGAAAACCCTCGCGGGTCGCTTCTCTGGCATGCTCCTGAGATGGTCAAGTTGCTCTCTCACCCATCTTGCACTGTCCTCAAGATGGACATGTGTCAGTTCGGCACGCCTTTTAAGAAACCAACCGCTGTCGCCTGCTGGAACGCAGGCGTTTTCCCCAGCTTGTGTAAGTCTTGTACCAGCAAAGGCGGCCTTTGCTCCCCGACCGGCCTGCCTCACCTCATCCTCCAAGGTCGGAATAAGGGGGCGCCGGCCCGCCGCGCCCAGCTGGCCGCGGCGTACTCGCCTCAGTTCGCCCGCGCCGCTGCTCGTGCTCTCGTTCACTCGGCCAATGCACTCAAAGAGTAATGGATGATGAATGCTGCCCTCCAAGTTAGTTAGTGCCCCTCACGCTCTGATGTTGTCAAGGCAAAGTTGTCGGTTAGCAAGGCTTGTGTCAGCTGTGTATACGTGCGTAGTTCGTTTTCGGCCGCGCTTCGTTGCCAGGACTGCTCTGCGGGGTTCGGGCGGCTCCTTTCAGGATCTTTGAAAGCGTGCGGCTCTCGCCGGGGATCAGCTCACTTTGTATAGCCTCCGGTTGCCGTGGCCTCGCCGTCCCGTGCTCGTCCCCATATGAAAAACATCGTCCCGGCAGCTGCGAAGTGGAAGTAGCTGATCCTTTTAACAAGTGTATGCTGCGACCCACGGCGAAGTTGCCGCACTTGATGGACATCTGTGGCCATCTCGCTCAAGCCTCCCCTCCCTCTCCCCCCTTGCTCTCTCTCTCTCTCTCTCTCTCGTTCACACAATGTCTCAGGTGGCTCCTTTCAAGATCTTTGAAAGCGTGCGGCTCTCGCCGGGGATCAGCTCACTTTGTATAGCCTCCGGTTGCCGTGGCCTCGCCGTGCCGCGCTCGCCCCCATATGAAAAACATCGTCCTGGCAGCTGGGGAGTGGAAGTAGCTATATATATATGTATGTTTGCATGTATGTATGTATGTATGTATGTTTGCATGCATGTATGTATGTATGCATGCATGTGTGTATGTATGTATGTATGTAGGTATGCATGTATGTAGACATGTATGTATGTTGTATGTATACAAGCATGCGTGCATGCATGCATGTATGTATGTATGTATGTATGTGTGTACGTATGTACGTATGTACATATATACGGCATCAAACTATATACGTGCATCCGAGTCCTTCTTCATCGCTGTCGCCCCCTTCCTTTTCCCTCCCCCGCCTGTCCCCAGTTATCATTTTTCTCCCGATCCTTCTTCTTTTACTCCTGCTGCGGCTGTTCGTCTTCATCCTGATTCCTCCCGCTCATCCTCCTGCTCGCCCGCCGTCTCCTCCTCCTGTGTGCGCAGTTGTTTTCCGCATAACGAGGTGTGGTTTTTCTTTCGGAGTCGCAGGTCGGCTATGACACGCGTCCGCGGGTAGAGACACATCAGCGCCGCGAGAGGCGATGGGAGGGAGGGGTATGATGTCGGATGAGGCGCGAGCGCACCTGGTTTGCCCTCCCCCCTCGCCCTTTCCCCTACGCTTCCGTCCTCTGGACCTGTCTGGTGGCGCGTTCTGGTCAGAATTTCGAGGCGGATCCAGCCGTGGCGAGGAGAGTGCCCCGAGAGCCCCCGAGCATGCCAAACATGTCAACGAACTTACATTCCTCGGTCCTCA